AAGGTTGTTACCTGAGTGGTTTTTCCTTTGTGCGGTATTCAGATCGTATGATATTAGCTAACAACCTAACAAGCATATGCTATAATTCTTTATTTACATCCACGTTGTTATCTCGTAACCATAATGCCAACTCGTAAGGCTAATGGTAAAACATTATGTTGGTTTTAAATTGTACGGACATTATCAAATTGAAATTTGTTTGTTTAATAACATAAACACTGTTTGTCAAAATAACCCTGGAAAGTTTGAATTAAATATGTTCAGCCATTATTAAGTAAATGGATTACATAGTTTGCATAAGGTCCGGTCTCAAAGAGCTTCGCTTGCTCCGCTCAATTAGAAGTGGTGAATCTTTAATTACAGTTTTTTTTTCAGAATTTATTTTACAATCTGTTCAAACAAATATGAGAACAATAAGTTAAACATTTATCAAAACAATGTCAGGAAGCAAGCACCTATTCATCAACAAGTCTTACCAAAAATTGGATCAATATTTTTACAGAAATCTGTAGCTTAGGTCCAGCACATGCACAACACTTTTTAATCTGGTAATGCACTGACTATTGTCCAGCAGATTAACAGCAAGACTGTTCAGATGATATTCTTTTTTTTCTTGATATTTTTTGCTAAGGTATGTAATTTCTTCTTTCACTGATTTAATTTTGAAGTCATACCTAATTGTAGTGTTGGATACGAACCAGGGTGCACCAATAATTCTTCTCAGCCTCTCAGCCTGAAATCGTTCAAAAATTTTGATTTTGGATTTGCTCGAGGTCCCCCAAAGTTGAATTCCGAATGTCCAAATTGGTTTGATCATAACTTTATACAGTAAAATTTTGTTAGCAAATGATAATTTTGAATTCGTACCTAGTAGCCAATTGCGTTTACGAAGTTTTAATTCCATTTGCTGTCTCTTGCACCAGATATGAGATTTCCAATTACATTTTTTTTCAAGAGTTAGACCTAAATATTTTACACTGTCTGCCTCCGTTAAGGCTACATTATTAATGGTTACTGGATGATTGTACTCTGTTCTCAGAGTAAAAACAATGTGTTTGGACTTGTTTTCGTTGACTTTTATCCTCCAATATTTAAGCCAATATTGGAGCTGAGTCAAGGCAGCTTGCAGATTAATGGAAGCGACTTGAGGGTCCACATGACTCGACAACAGTGCGGTGTCATCATCGATGGGTGTCATCAGCAAACGTAGCAACTGTGACGTTGGGGACCATAGGGATGTCTGCTGTATACAGGGTGTCACAAAAAAGTGTGATGGGCTATACAGGACCTAATTCTACATGCAAAAATAAGTCAAAAATGAAGAATAAATTTTTTTTATTTCGGCTTGGGCGCACTGATTTCGAGCACGAAAACCCAAAACGCGGTGAAATCGAGCATTGCACTGAAGCGGCAATAATGAGTACCCTAATCCTTTGGTGATTTCGAGCATTTGGCCTTCCTAGAACTTTAAGGATGATTAAATAGGGGAAGATGAGAAAAAACATTCAAATCAAACTACCACATTTATTTCCTGACCTTGTGGCCTACACACTTGAGAAAAGTTAACAAATGTGCGAGTCCCTCATTTGTTTTAGTTTCACATCGATAAACTTTTGCCTTGTCCTTCCTTTGCTTTGTTTCTTCTCTGCGCAACGCACTGTTCAGTCGTACGTGTATACTCAATGGTCGTATGTACGTTTGTAAGCGGTGTAACGCGCGTTTTGGAGTAGAGGGGAGTAGGTTTTATGTATGTTTACTGAGTACTTCTATATACAATACCTACGATGTTCTCTTCTGTTGAAATCCAATCCCTAACAATGCTTTCACAAGGTGCTAGACAGACTTTAACTTTCGTTAAATGAAGCAATTAGCATACTTTGGTATTTAAAAGCTAACGTTCATATCCTCGATTAGGTTACAAAGTAAAAACATACGAGCTAAACTTTCTTGTAAAAAGTGTTAGGGAATTTTCCCCAACACAATTACCCGGGACCGCTTTACTTTTTTCATTTTGATGTCCACAAAGACTAAAAACATCATTAATTTAATATTTTATAATTGAAATGTTAAATTAAGCTGCAACGAGGGTATTTTGTTTTGTATTCCTTTTTTATCTATAGTACAACTCCTTTACAAAAGAGTTAGTAAAAACTACCTTTTCGACTTTTTTGCTATGCCGAGACATGCCATGAGAAAAGATTGCTCAAACGCGCGTTGCAACGCTCCCATGTGTACTGAGCAAATTTCATCCACATTGGATTTCATTTTCCATTGTTAAATAAGCAAATATTTATTCCATCCACACTTAAATATCTCCGTAAACATGTCAGATTTATTTTATATTTAGATACCATTACGTTTAACACGTACTCAGTACTTTTCTGACACGGGAAAGATAATTTAGTGTTTTTTAGTAAAATAATAAAAGCTTAGGGGCTAGGATGTAATAAACCGATTTTTCAAATGTGATAAAATATATCCAAAAACAAGCAAACTACAACGGTTAACTTATTCTGCATAAGAATAACTTGAGAATTTTAGATTTACGATAATTCGATTTTTTTTCGTATAAATTAAATTATTTAAATCAATTTTCAATTTGAATAATTTGAACTTTTAACTGTACAAACATACTTTCGAAAATTGTGTGAAGGGAAATCGGGGAATCCTAAGTTTTAAGGCCCAGAAATAGGGAATCCCAAATTTACCCTATAAAACCACCATAATTCTCCGTCCCCATGGTCAGATCATTCTTGTTCACGAACTCGTTCGAATACATTTTGATTTAGACATTTATACAAAACTAGCCACTATACCCTTGCCTTGCAACGGGGTCAGTATGGAAAAGGTACAATGTTGGTTCTTTGAAAATGTCTTAAAATGGTTTTACACCCACGATTTAATTAAGAAACAAAATTGAACTGTATTACTTAAATTTATAATACAGTTTTTGTTAACTCAGACTGTGAACACCTATTTAGGCTACCTAGGATCCGAAATCACTGATAGATTTTAAGGTAGCTATTTCATCACTAAACAGATAGATGCATTGTCCTTCCAGACCTGGAGCTTCCATGCTCGAAATCACCACAGGATTAGCGATCCCATAACTGCCGCTTCAGTGAGTGCTCGAAATCAGTGCACCATTCGGCTTAGTTTAGCCGTAATCCGCCATTTTGTTTTTTGGGGAAAATATTTATTATTTCAAAATCCCTTTGAGATATTTTTACGAAACTTGGCAAAATTGTTTATACTATAGTAAGTAACATTTATAAAAAAAAATATTATTTTAACTTTCCAAATTTAAAAATGGCGGCCGTTTGAATTTCTTAATGCCAAATTTCATGAAAACCGGTACCTAAATCAAAATTTTGTAAGACATAAAAGTTTTAGTATTTATTATGACAAATCCAACAAAACAAAAATGAATAAAATCGGTTCATAAATAAAGAAGCTGTGTTTATTTTAGTAATTTAGACTGAAATTATTAATATTAAAATGGGCTGACAACGAACTGCACTCACGGTCAAAGGAATTTACAAGGGTTGGAAGGGTAGCCCGCCTAAGCCATATGGAACTGCACTCACGGTCAAAAATCGGCCTTTCACGGCTGAACGCTTCGCTAGCCCCTTAGTCATCTGTTTATTCCGTCCTCTGTCTTACTTTATCCAATACTTTATTTAATACACGTTTTAGTGTCTGTCCCAATAAATACAACAATAAATAACCTAACCTAACCTAACCTAACCTTTACAAAAGAAGCTTCGTTATAATAAGAATATAGCCTATCATGTTATCGTAAATACTATGCTAGAATTTTCTGTGCACATATATATGTGTATTTTTTACAATGTCAGTAGTAAGTTTATTTTTTGACGTTTGGATTAATTTAATCAAAACTTTTCAATATATTTCAACTAATTTAATAAGTTTTAATCAATTCAATCATGGTGTTGCACAATGTGATATAGGCTGATTAAAAACTGACCGTGAGTGCAGTACCAGTACCTCCAGAAAGGCTCAAAGTGACCGTGAGTGCAGTTCCGTAGTTGGATTTGGACCAGGGACTGACTGTGAGTGCAGTTCCAGCCCTCCCTTAAAATGTATTAAATGTAATGTAATAATTTATGTAACGTATTAAGTATTATATTATATTTGGCAATAACAAGCCTATTTTGGAGATCTAGTACTGTAAGTTATGATTACAGGGGAGTGGTCTGAAGAAAGATCAAGGGATGATTCGATATTCGTGTAGTTCAATTGTATACCTTTAACTACAAAAAAGTACAGTAGGTCCGGTATTTTATTTCGGTCAGTTGGCCAGTAAGTAGGTAAACCTGAAGATACACAATCCAAATTCATTTCTGTTATAGCTCTGTAAAGAGTTCTGCCTCTTGGAGTTACTAGTCTCGAGCCCCGTGTGTGTGTTTAGCATTATAGTCCCCACCCACAATAAATGTTGGACCAAGTGTTGAGAAAAAGTCTCTAAATTGATCTCTAGCTATTGCATGAGGTGGAGGACAGTAGACAGCCGAGAGTGTAAGAGAGGCGTTATTGCCACATTTTACAACAATACCGTGGCTTGTAAGAAATCATTTTGCATGTTAGGAAGCTCATAGTGTTTTAGTTTTTTGTGCACTAGTACAGCAGTTCCTCCATGAGCTCTATTATTTGGATGGTTAGTAAAGTAGACAATATAACCAGGAATTTTGAAGAAACTTCTATCAGTGAAGTGGGTTTCAGTAATGAGGCATACAGTACATTTATTTTTTTTTGAGTGATAAATAACTTAAGTTCTTGGCTGTGGTTTGCCGAGCCATTAGCATTCCAAAGTGATATTCTTAGGAGGGAGTTCATTACAATTTGTTAATGACAGCTGTTAGTAGGTTCATGAGGGTACCTATTTGTTGGGTTTGTTGTAATATTAGCTTCTCAAATTTTTGAATAAAACAGGTAACTGTATGCTCAAGATTGTTGGAGCTAGATCGTTCACTACTCACATTTGGTGCTGATTTAGGAGTGGCAGCAGCTTGAGCATAAGTTTGATGTGTAACATCAGGTTTATCAGCAGTGAAGGATCTACTTGACACTTCGGCACGAGCTGACCCAGTTGCAGTTCTCGACTCCTTCAAAAACTTTTGCGAAGGGTTGATTTTACGTTTGATTTCTTGATAAATTGCACAGCCCTTGTAGTTCACTGGATGGTTTCCTTCACACAAAGCACATACTTTGGTGGTTCAGCGACAGGTTTTGTACAAATCAAGGTATCATGGTTTTGACCACATTTCACACAGCGAAATGGATATAAGCAGTAACCCTTTGTGTGCCCATATTGTTGACAGTTTTTACACTGGACAATTTCTGATCTTTTTCTTGGTGGTTCAAACTCGATTTTGGCATTCAACAAATATTGAATATTATGTCTTTATTATTTTGGCTAGGCTCTAAGTCCACAAAGAACAGTGAAAGTGGTGATTTAGTTTTAAAGTCCCTTATATTTGATACATTACGTACTTTATGGCCTTTTCCTCAATTGATAATTTGATATCATCTATGTCAGTTGAGAAATGCATATTCTTCAGGACCACTCTGAAAGACCTGTCTTGTTTTACTTGAAATGTATGAAACGGAACTTTTAGCTCAGTCAATTTATGAACTAGTTTTCGATATGAGTCAATGGATAATGGACAAATTTTGACCTTATTACCGTTTATGCACCTGTAAGTGTATTCATGTATAGAGATCACTAACTCTATTCATGTCATCATTTGTTTGATATTAGACACGTTCGGGATGAATATGGGTGGAGGTTTAATCTCCTTCTCCTTATTGTCAGAAATAACAGTTTCGTCCATGTCACTTGAGTCACTAAGAGCTTCAAACATGTTTCCCGTTTGAACCACATTGTTTGAGGTCGATTGTCGAAGTTTTTTAAAATGACGGGTTTTCAGATTAACATTTACCCTCTTATTACCCGGGACAGTTTGCCAAAAACCATCATGACGCGTGGTTATAATATTAGTATTCGCTTGGACGTCACTGGTTTGAGCGGACGACAAAAAAAGTTGTTCATTCGCTGGACTTTCACGATTACAGATCACATCGCCGTTTTTTGAATCACCAGTGTCAATACCATAGTCATGATCCAACATAGTATTAGCTGACTAGCAGGAACAATTCAAAGAAAGAAACAAAGGTAACAAAGGTAAACACAAATCAAACAACAAATTGAAAGATTGAGGTTATGGAAACGAATACGTAAATCTTCCTTATTAAAACACAAAACTATACAGTTTATAATGAAAGATTAAACACTAATGACTAAAAGGATCGTATTTACAGAATATAAAAAGTCCTGTGAAATTCTTACCGAGAATTTAAGTAAAAATAACTCACATAATTAAATTCTTGATTTTCACAACACAACATGACCAGCTGAATTTTTAATTAAAGTAAAAATAAAAATAAATGTAATATGTTTTTTTTGGTCGAGTAATATAGTAGATAAACGAAGAAGAAGAAAGTGTTTTAATAAAATAAAAATGATACAGTAAAACAAACAATATAATATGTTGTACATTTTTTTTAAATTACATAGATTTTTCTCACCTTTATCTTGTAAACTCAATTTTACATTTTAATCATTAAATTCTATTATCAATTCCCATCTTTTAATCCAAGCCTCTATAAGATAATTTCTAATTCGTCGCCAATATTTGGCATTTCAAATTTTAAAATCTAATACTCATGTAAATACAAGTTTTCATTTTAACCCAAAATGATCTTACATTTTTTAATAGAACATTCCGCTATAAAATTGCCCACCGTTTCATCCCAGTTGAGATTGCATAGTTGACATACATGATTTTCCATCCAGGGCTTATTGTTAAGGTGTATTAACTCTGTTCTAGCTTTTATACTCCAGGACATAAGTTGAACATTTAGATCTGCAAAAAGGAACTATCTATCTCCAAGGTGGAAGTTAAGGTTCCGATACTGCTGGTGATAACACTAGTCAATGCCGAACCCAAACATTCCTGCCGCCAAGCCGTTCTTTCTAACTCTAATAATTGAAACAATCGTGAATGAAAAATGTTTAATCTGTTAAAATCAACGTCTAACGCTACTCGTCCTCTTTAAACCATTTTTAGCATCAACCTGGACCAATAAAATATTTTTTTCCAAAATTTTCTGTCTAGCTAAGATATACGTGAGCCTATTTTTTGGTAAAAACAATACTCTAATAATGTAACCAAAGTGCAAACTTAATGTTTAAAAATAAACTTTATCTAATTGACATTCTAGGTGTAATATGTAATCTGGTGTATTTTGTGGCAATCTAAATAATTGTTGACAAAGTTACCTATTTTGAGCTGATTTGACGGTTTTACTGATAATAAATCCCCAAACTTGCACTCCATATCCCAGCAAAGCTCTACTTATTGAATTATAGCACGCTATTGTTAATTTATCGACACTTGATTGATTATTATTATTAAAATACTCCAGAATAAATTGACAGATAATTTTGAAGCTGAAGAATTTTTTTCGAATACATTTCCCACAAAGTGTACTTGTAAAGTTTACTCATCAATATTTATAATTGTTTACAATTTCGATTTGTTCTCCCTAGATAAATTAATGATAATACTTGAGGGCGAATCTGTGAATGCATACCTTTATAACTTAAGACAAAAATTATCAAAATCGGTCATGTAGAAGAGCTAAACAAACTTGGCAAAGAAACCCCAGATTCAAATCCCATAACAAATGTATAGGGACGAAGTTGCTTTTGCGCATAACTCAAAATAATATACGTCGTATAAATGAATGATGATGCTTGATGGCAAATCTATGGGTGCATAGCTTTAGTTCAAGAACAACATTATGAAAATCTGTCGGTTAGAAGAGCCAAGCCGACTCGGAAAAGAATAACCAATAATTTATAACATATAGATCATGTTGAGAAATGTTTTGTTTACAATTTTTATTAAAAAATGTTTACATGTTTATTACCAACATTTCTACAACCAAGCAATTGTATATAATGGCACACAGTCAGTCAACCAGGTACTGATAATAATAGGACTTACTGAAAAATTGGTCATAGATAAAGGCAGCATTTTTCATCTTTTGGAAACTTGAAATACTCTCAATCATCTGGAGCATAACATTGGCCGGAGGTGAAACTTGAACCAAATTTAACATCCTACTGGAATTAAACAGATCCCAAGGCCTGTAAGTTGAAAATAATTCTCAATTAGCTTGTTTGAAATAACTTGGCCAAGTATGGATAAGCATGAAATAATTTGTTTAACTTTTTAAATTATGTTGCATGAGCAGTGTTATACTACGGTACATATGCATCACCGTCAGTTCTACTAAAAACTGATCAAGGAAAACTACAGTGATTATGAAACACGATAAGTGGGGGGGGATGATCTGTATCGTTATTTTGCACAAGAATGTTGTCCATTTAGTCCAGCATCTATAGGGGGTTGAGTATGCACTGAAAGTGTATCTCATTTTAACTTTTGATTGTTGTTGGGTACAAGGAAATATTCAGTTTTTTAACTACAATATACATATAACAAAAACATAGCTAAAAGACGTGTTAAATAAAGCAGCCAATTTTTTTGATTGTTACAATTTTTTATGCCCTAGGCTGTAGATTCTTTGAGGTCTTACCAGCTCTACATTACTTGACAGGCTTCGACACAACAAGAAAGATAGAGAAAAAAAGTCCACCTAGAAGTTTGCTAAAACCAATTCCAAAGAAATAGTTAGTGTTTTGTAGCTAATGCAACAAAAACCACTAGAAATAGAGGCTTTGGAACTATTACAGTACGGATTTTGCACCGTAGAAAAATTGCACCCCCTTCTCATTATACTGCCTCCTGCTCCAACAACTTTACAAAAACTGTTTGAATGCAAGACTTGTTCCAGGGCATCTTGTAGCTGTTGTTTTAACAACTCATTCTCCTGCTCCACTTGCAAATGTTAGACAAATTTAAAAAATCCTCAACATTAAAACAAGTTCAAACAGGATGACATGGAATCTTATCTAATGTTATTGTTATATGTATATTGTAGTTATACTGTAGTATGAAATACGACAATTCCAAGCCTATTTACAGATTCTCTTAATAAAAACAGTATACTTTTTAAACTTAAGTGTTGTCGTTGGTAGTTCCCACAGAGGTATCTATAGAATATCTCATAAACATTTCACTAGGATATTTAAGATATCTATAGATGATCAATATCCAGATATATATATTTGTTAGATATTGTGAAGAAGTTTAAATGTAACTAATTTAAACTTTCAACAGATATTAGATTTACAATATCTTAAGAATTTCTAAAACTGAATATTATACGTTTATCTGCTGACAGATCACAAAAAATTTATAGATACATAAAAACACAAAATAATAAATATAAATAAGATAAAAATATAAATAAAGATTTAGCCTGAAAAGCACATTTCATCAGTTGAGTATTTTGAAAATAGTTCATAAAAACAATTTTTGAACAATCAACTAGACAAAATTTTTTTTACCCGGACAGGTCTCGAACCGGATACCTTCAACCTACGTACCTCTTACCTTACCTCTGAGCTATCTGTGATTGTTGATATTACTAGTTTTCAAGCGGTTAAAGAGGAGCCAACAGCTGTAATGGTCGCAATACCTTTGTGATACTATGACTCTGTTTATGCATCTAAGTTGTTAAATTAATTGTTTTTCTGGGAGTTGGAGAGAATACTGATATTATATATTACCTAGTGTAATGCACATATTTCTTCCCTTCTGACTGAAATAGTTTGACTTTAATGAAACACTCCCTTTGGAAAAGTGTAGTAATTGTCGTAAACATCGCTAATGCAATTTATTGTCCACTATGGGCTGATTAAAATTATTAGATTTTTTACGCGTAGCACGGTAAAGGGTAACGGAGACAACATACTATAATTCATCCTACCAAAATAACCACATAAAAACTACAATTAAGTTTTAGTTTGATTAGTGTTTGTTAATTTGTTTGATGACTTTTAGATCCTGTGTTTTTAATAAGGCTAACTGTAAAACTCAATATTCTTGATGAAACAATAATCCCCTTATCAGCATTTATCTTCTTTATGATCAATCTCCAATCGTCAATGTAGGATTGACATTTATGGTGTATCTGCTCGTAGATATCTAGTTTTGAATATTTGTACAATATTTTTCGGATATTGCATCTAAACATTATATAAATATTATCTACTGTGAAACTTTTGATATCTATTAAATATCTAAAGGATATTTTAAGATTATTTTGGGGGAGAGAGCTGGTGTAGTGGTTAGAGCGCGGGACTTCAGTCCCTGACCCTAGTAGCACAAATATGTATTTTATAAATATTTTATATATTTAAAGTTGTATTTGATAGAACCTCGAATAAAATATATATATAATATATCTTTAATAATAGTTTGATATATTCAAATATATATTTTAAATATTACCAAAAAGCAATGCAAAATATAAATTAAATATAAGTTTTGAATATAAAAAATAGATTCATAATATCTATTGATAAAACAAGTATGGAATCTATAATATACATATTTTATATGTATATTTTTCCTATTAAATATTTAAAAACATTATGTGTTTAGAATATTTTAAATATATATATAAAATATTTTTGAAACTATATTATATATTTAAATTAT